GAGGCCAGAAGAGGGCATTGGATCCACTGGAACTGGAGTTATGTATAGTTGGTAGCTTAATCTCTGAGTCATCTCTCTAGCGCCAGTTTTTATACTTTGATGGTTAAATCATGTGAATGCATTATCTAGTCAAAAATTAAAATAAAATCACAAAAAATAATAATTCCATACACCAAAATAGCCAAAGGGCATGAGAGGAGAAAGAGTTAGGAGGAGGAAGGAGCCAAGTACTTCTACATGGCTCTGTGGACTCAGAAGGCCTTTGCTAAAAGGGTCTGGCAGATTTCTTCTCACAATCTTTGATCATTGGCTTAATCACTTTCCAAACTCAGGCCTGTTTGTATGGTTTGGGAAATCCCGGTCTTTTTCAAAAAAGTAAACATTTTTACACACTTTCTTCAAATAACAAGGTCAATTCACTAAAGCAGTGACATCCATCCTTTGAAGCTGCCTGACGATGCCCTGGAACCCTTTTCCTTCCCCCATCAACCCTGATGTCTTGAAAGAAAAAAAAAAAAGCCAAGTGATATGTATTTGTTTTAGAGCTTGCTTGTTGAGACTCTTATGACACCCCTTTGAGGTGACTGGCAATATTCTGGAGCATTGCAAAACACAACTGGGAGTGATCACCCTGGTGATCAGCTAGAAACTACAGCCAAGTGGGGCCTGTTCCACCCGGCATGCCTGGGACAGGGCAGGGGAGGGGGCAACAGAGGGGATCCTCGGGGCTCCATGGGACCGTGAAAGCATTTGCTTTGGAGCCCCTGACAAGTCCCACTCCAGGGTTCCCGAGAGCCCAGCTGGTCCTTTTTCCTCAGGGATAATTTTAGGTTCTTTCTTTCCCTCCCAACCTTTCTGACTCCCAAGCCCTGGCTCAGCTTCCCAGAGGGATTGACCAGTGACTATACAAAGTGCTTTAAAAATATAAAGTTCTTCAAAAGAACACACTAGGGGTCACCCTGGAAGCATTTTCCACTATAATTATTTCTCCTTTTGTCCCATTGTTTCAGGGGAAGAAGCAGGACAGCTCAAGGGTCAAGTCCTGATAAAGTGCAAGCTATCTCTCCCGGCGTTTTTGTTTGTTTTGTTTGTTTGTTGTTTGTTTTTCTTTATATGTTCCTGAGATCAAACTCAGGTCCTCCCGCTTGCAAAGCATGCACTTGACCAGCTGAGCCATCTCCCCAACCTCCAGAGGCTTATTTCCAAGTTTTTCAGCCCCATGCCCAATTTGAGAGAAGCTGTTTTAAGGATCTGGAGATTGGGTAGCTGAGCCAGGCCCTGTAAGTCTGGGTGAGGGGTGGGAGTTGGGGGCTCTTGTCTACTTCAGGTATGGGAAAGCTTACTGGGACTGGATGTGAGATTCAGATGCATTTACATACCAAGCCTGTTCTATACACTCACAAATACAATGTGGGGATTTGGGAGATTATTCAGTGCCTAAGAGTGCTTGATCTGCAAGCATGAGGACCTGAACTCTAATCCCCAGCATCCAATAAAGAGCTGGACATGGCTGCATATGCTCATAACCCCAGTACTGGGGAGTGGAGAGAGATGTAGCTCCAAGATCAACCAGCCTAGCCAAAATGAGAGCTTTGCAGTTCGGTGAGAGACCTTGACAAAGGCAATAAAGTAGAGAATGACAGAGGCAGACCCCTGACAGCCTGCTCTGGCCTCACCATGCATGACACCCACAAACTTACCTGTGTGCCCCAAACATAACACACACATACAAAAAAAAATGCAACGCGAATTCTCAGCTTGCTATCTTCTAGTTTCTTATGAGTAACTCCCCAAGAAGTTGGTGTGAACCTTCTACAATAGGGAAGGTTGCAGAACATGTCCTGGGTCCTGGTGTGGGTCATCTGCTGCCCGTGTTCTTTGTGTCCATCATGAGCCAGTGGTGGTGTGTAGGGACCGACCCCCAGGCGAAGCAGTGCCACTACAGTCCAAGTTTATGGAGACCTGGGGATGGTACTGGACAAGCCTTAGCCTCAAACACATTCATCTTTTTCTTTCTTTCTGTGATGGAGATTGAAGCCAGGGCCTCAGGCATACTATTAAGTGCACACAGGGCCACTGAACCACACCCTCCATCCCCATTCATCAGTTTTTATTTTATAATTTATTTTATGTGTATAAGTGTTTTCCCTGCATGTATGTAAGTGCACCCATGCCATACAATGCAATGCCCGAAGATGGCCTTGAACTGGAGTTACAAATGGTTGTTAGCACCATGTGGGTGCTGGAAACAGAACCCAGGTCTTCTGCAAGAGCAGCCAGTGCTCTTAACCGCTGGCTGAACTGTCTCTCCAGCCCCATCCCTTTTTTAATATGTCTTTATGATTGAAGCATTTGAAGAGGCTCATATAGAAATTTTCTAGGAGGAAAGATGTTTGGAAGGGGCAGTGCAAAAGCCAGGGAGGTGTGAGCCAGAAGCTCTTTAGCGTCCCAGGCTACATGATGCCAAATCAAAAGAGAAAGACTGCTGAACTTGGTGATCTCCCTGGCAACTGAAAAGAACAAGAACAAAGAAGTAGAAGGTCAGAGAGCACAGGTAAGACTGGAGAGGGAGGAGGACCTCACCAGCTGAGGCACTGGGAGAGGCGGGACCCTGGCTACCCGCCATTGCTTCATTTGAAGGGCATTAGAGCTGAGAGGGCTAAGTAGCACCCAGCACTAGGGAGGATGAGGCAGGAGGATGTGGAGTTCCAGGCCAGCCTGAGAAATATATGGATACGTCCCAAACGATAAGATACCTTAGGGAAGGCCCCCAACCAGAAAGAGGGGCTCCTGTGGATAGCTTCTTTGCCGCTGGGTAAAGGGTGAGGTGGAAGGTTCTCCCTTCCTGGAAGGAGCTGCTGAACTCCAGGAAGCTGGTGCCCAGGGAGTGCCACGCTAAGTCCCTGGGGCTGGTCATGCCTGGGTGGTCCTATCCACCCTCAAATTCCCTCCAGAGGCCTTTCCTCTCAGGACAATATTGGACGCTGTGCCTTTAAACACAGCCACTCCTCCTCAGAGCAGTGGCATCTAGGGAGTGGGGGGTGAGATGGAGGGAGGCTGACCTATCTCACCCCTGGCAACTAAAGAAGATGGCCCAGGCCTGGGAAGTCGCTCTCTCGTCCTGCTGCCCCTTCCCCTGAGCCAGGGGATCTGGGGGAGCCTTCCCACCCACGACACGCGATGGGGATGGCTCCCTGGCCTCACAGGAACGGCTCTCTGGCTCTGTGGTCAGACACCCCCAACTTGGACCCCAACGCCGCCAACACAAATGGGCTGCCAGGGGTGCCGTGGGCGGCAGCATTAGCTGGGGCACTCTTGGGTCTGGCTACGGTGGGAGGCAACCTGCTGGTAATCGTGGCCATCGCCCGCACACCGAGACTCCAAACCATAACCAACGTGTTCGTGACTTCGCTGGCCACTGCTGACTTGGTGGTGCGACTCCTCGTAATGCCGCCAGGGGCCACTTTGGCGCTCACCGGCCACTGGCCCTTGGGCGCAACTGGCTGCGAGCTGTGGACTTCGGTGGACGTGCTCTGTGTAACCGCCAGCATCGAAACCCTGTGCGCCCTGGCGGTGGAACGCTACCTGGCTGTAACCAATCCTCTGCGTTACGGCTCGCTGGTCACGAAGCGCCGCACCCGGGCAGCGGTGGTCCTGGTGTGGGTCGTGTCCGCCGCCGTGTCCTTTGCGCCCATCATGAGCCAGTGGTGGCGCGTGGGGGCCGACGCCGAGGAGCAGCGGTGCCACTCCAATCCGCGCTGCTGTACCTTCGCCACCAATATGCCCTACGCGCTGCTCTCCTCCTCGGTCTCCTTCTACCTTCCTCTGGTCGTCACGCTCTTCGTCTACGCGCGGGTTTTCGTCGTGGCCAAGCGCCAGCTGCGCCTGCTGCAGCGCCCGCGCCGTGCTCGGCGACCACAGCGGGGACGTGCGCTCCGGTGGACGCAGCCGCCTGCGACCCGCAGCCAGCGCGCCTCCGGCCGCTCCGGGAGCACCGCGCCCTGCGCACCCTGGGTCTCATCATGGGCATCTTCTCTCTCTGCTGGCTGCCCTTCTTTCTGGCTAACGTGCTGCGTGCCCTTGGGGGACCCTCTCTAGTTCCCAGCGGGTTCTTCACCGCCCTGAACTGGCTGGGCTACGCCAACTCCACCTTCAACCCTCTCATCTACTGCGGCAGTCCGGACTTCCGAGGCGCCTTCCGCGGTCTCCTTTGCGGCTGCTGGGACTGCGCACCCGAGGAGCCCCGCGCGGTCGCCGGCCCCACCCGCAACCCTGCGGACGCAGCTGCAGCTCCAGCCAGCCCCTCGGGGTCCAGGCAGAGCCCGGGGTTCAACAGGTAGGGAAGGAGGGGCAGGGGACCAGCGGGTGGGGCAGGATATCCGTCTCCACTTTGGAGTTTGGACTTGGGGCAGGGGCTGGACAGGGTCTATGGCCCGCAGAGGAGACAGCAAGGCGTGGGGATGAAAATGGGACCCAGGGTCTTTTCCTTTCTGGAATCCAATCACCAGCTCTGGGACCAAGAAGGGCCTGCGGGCTCTTCACCCAAGGGCTCACTAAGCACCACAAACAGTTACCGCTGTGCTGTCAGGTTTCTTGGACTCCCGTGGCTGGTTCTAGTTTTAGTTTCTAGCACAGTCCTCTAGTGGCTCAGATTTCTGGCCATCACTACATCTGGCTGAAACTTCCGTAAAGGGCTAGTGAGTGGACTTCCCAACCCCGCCGCCTCAATTCCAGTTTCTCTCAAAGGTTTGATGGCTATGAAGGTGAGTGTCCACTTCCCACGTGAAGGATCCATGACGGACCAGTGTGATTCATCAAGGAACCTGTGAGTGGGATTTTGAGCTGCAGCTCTTCCCCGTGGTCTGGGTTGAAGCTGGAGGGTGGGGTTGCTGTGGCTGGGTGGTTCCTCCTGCCTTTGGAGAGTAAATATGCTTTCCAGAGTTGCGGAGTGACCGCCCCTTCCCTCCAGTGCTTGGGTTCCACCCCCTGCCCTTCACCCCAAAATGTTTTCTTCATTTCGCAGGGCTTCTGGGGCTGTTTTTTAGCCTGAAGGACAAGAGACAGCATCATGGATGTAAAGCCCCTGATTTCAGTCCAGAATGAGCCCTGGGGAGTCCGCAGTGAAAATCTCTATCCTCCAGAGCCTGCTGACTGGACCACGGGATGCAGAGGGGGACACTTAAATGGGTTTCACCATCCTCTTTCTGAGAGAAGTTTCCTCAGACCCACCCTGAATTTTTCACTACTACCTCAGCAGCTGCCGGGGCTGCCCTGGGAGCAGCCCCACAGCCGGGAGTGTCCCTCGCCGTGTGTGTGTGTGTGTGTGTGTGTGTGTGTGTGTGTGTGCGCGCGCGCTTAGGGCAAACAGAGCACACTTACCGCCTTCCTTCTGCTGTCCTGGCCCTAAGGAGGGGCTTGGGGGTCTCTAGACTTCTAGACCCTGCACTATGGTCAGGCTGAGGGCAGAAGGCCAGGGAAAAAAGGTTCTGGGTTTTGTCCCTGGCTCCCTCACCGTGGCTCCCTAAAGCAGCAGCATCTCTCACAGCAGACACAGAATGGCTCTGATCTACCTCACAGTCACAATGGTTTGCCAAGACTCCAGAATCAGGAAGATGAACCATTTTGGAAGGGATCCCTTTTCCATTTAAAATCAGATTAATAAATACTACTGAATGCAGTTTGTCCCTTGCCCTGTTTTCCATTTGTTTTGTTTTCATAATCCATTTGCCGCTTTCCCTTTCGCTGGGAGCTGCCTTTTGACAGGGGCAGTAAATTCAGACTAATCCCTGCCCCTTTCTTCCTAATCCTCATTCAGAGGAACCGGGAGTCTGTTTGGGTAAAAGGCACTGTTGAACCTTTGATTCCCCTTCCTCCCTACTCTTTCTGAAACTTCTGGAATCTGGTTGCAGGAAGTAGCAAAGTCATGTATCATCCACAGAACATTAGCAGGGGATGTGTCCAAGATCAGGGGTCTCTCATACCACAGACCAGCTGTGGTTCATAAGACCTCCAGGATACGAGGAACCACTTTGGTTCAGTGATTTATTATGTACACACATATAATGTATATATAGATATGTGCATATGTGTGTGGTTTTATAACCTCTATCTCTCCCTTCCTGAATTGCAAAAATCTGTTTTCAAGAAGCAAAACTGGAGAGTTACAATTATTAGTCTGTTGATACTTTTTTTCTTATTTTGGTTTTTACTAATCCTTATCTGACCTGTTTCCTATGGAAAGAAAAGTCCTAAGGAAATCACTAGCATTTTATGGGGGCTCTTACTTAGCTGCCTTGAACAAAGACCATGGTCCAAGATAGCCAGTAAATCAGGAAATGTTTGGCATGCCTGTGATATAGCATGCAGTGCACTTGCTGGGTTTGGGGGCCCTAGAATTATGAAACCTTGATCTGCACACAGGACAAGCTACGTGCATTTCCACATATGGGTATTCCCTGCGAACTGGACCTGGTCTATGCAGCTTCTTTTTTACCTGGGGCTCAGGTTTTATTTCTCAGGATGTTTGCATACCGAGGATGGCTTTCTCCTTTCCAACCCAGTGCAGTGTGCGATCTCTGGAGTCTGAATGTAGAAGGCTTCTTGGCCAGGAATCCGCTTTTGAACTATGGCCCTTAGTAAAGAAGGAAATCTTGACTGAGCCTGGGGATAAGAGGGGCTCTTCTCTCTGTCTCTGGATATTTTCCCAACAGCTCTGAGAAAAGTTACCAGGCACCCCTAGGCCAATTTGGAAGGAGGGGCCTCCGGTTTATAGAATTGTCCTTGAAGAGTGTCCAGGAGCTCATACTGATTGGGTCCTGCTTGACACATACCCATGTGCCAACTGTCAGCCTCCTTTGGAGTGTTTAGACTTGAGCTAGGTTGTGGATTCCATCTGCAAATTGTCACCAATGCATCTGACAGCGGCAGAGGCAGTCCTTCTAGCCCTTTCTCCAGCAGCTTGTGGCCAGGTGTCAAACTAAAGGAGATTTACATCCCTGAATGGGAAGCAAACTGCTTTTGCCAACACAAGGCCTGAGCCCTTGAACTCGGGGGAAGACAAACAGCCATGCTCCGACTCTAAAGATGTGAAGACTTACAGAGCTGTGAAAGCTGAAGAATTCTGGAGGCCCTGGCCCTCCAGGAGACTGGGAGCAGAGCTAGCTGGGGCAGAAGTGACAGGGAACAGGGATTGAGTTGGATGGGTGGGACCGCAGAGGAGTCAGCAGGATTAGAGAAAGGAGGACTTTAGTAGCAAACTTTTCTAGAGCTCTTCCCATGGTAGACACTTCTAGCTAAGGGTGGTTAAGTGTGTTATGGTCCTCACAGGTGATCACTAGGCTACAATTCATTACTAACTCATGTCTCAACCCTGTACAACAGCAACAACCTCTCCCCATAGAACATAAACCCCTTTAAAGGGAATGAGGATGAGTGGAATGGTCCTTTCTTGAACCCAGGGTGGCCTGGAACTCCTCCTCCTGCTCCAGCCTCCCTAGTTCAGGAACTGCAAGTGTTCACCACCATGTTCAGCGTTGGGGTGCCTTTTCTAAAACTCCAAAGTCCTCACCCAAGACTTAGGACTGTTAGGTACCCCTGGGTGGCTGTTTGAGGTGCAGCAGGCATGGGCTTTGGGGCAGCCTGGTTAACAGTTTTCATAGGCTGCCAGCTCTCACAGCTAGAAGAAAGCATATAAATAATTTAGTCCTATAAATAGGTGTGGCAGCACACACCTGTAATCTCATCACTCAGAAGGTCTCAAATTCCAGGCCAGCCTTGGCTGGATCATGATAACTTGTCTCAAAAAAACAAAACAAACAAAAAGAAAAATAACTTAGTCTGATCCTTCAACAAAAATGAATAAAGAAAGCCAGGCATGGTGGCTCACGCCTTTAATCCCAGCACTTGGGAGGCAGAGGCAGTCTGATCTCTGTGAGTTCCAGGCCAGCCTGGTCTACCTAATGAGTTCCAGGACAGCTGGGCCTAAAGGGAGACCCTGCCTCAAAAAAAGAAAAAGACATAAAAGAAATAAAGAAATTGAGTTCTAGTACTGGGGATGTAGCTTAGTTGATAGAGTGACAGCATAGTATGCACAAGGCCCTGGATTCATGGTGCACACCTGTAATCCCTGCACTGAGGAGGTAGAGGTAGGAGGATCAGGAGTTCAAGGTCAATTTCTGATAATATAGTGAGTTGGGGGCCAGCCTGGGATACATAAGATCCTGCCTAAAAAAGGAAGGAAGAAGGGAGG